ATTCTGGCCGGAGCCACCCCTCAAACGAGGAAGGACTCAAAGCCACGGGACTCCTCCCCTTTCCCGAGCACAGCGGTCCGGTTAGACCAGAGGTCGAGAGCCAATCGCCCAGAACCCCAACAGGCCGGAGCCACGGGGCAGACAGAGAGACCTGCAGCTGAAGCCCCCGCCACCCAGACACGAACAGGGCGGACGGAGATGCGGCAGCGTCCCCAGGGTGAGACCGGCAACCCGGCGCTGCCCTTTGCCGGGCTGCGGGTGGGGCTGCTTCCGGCGGGGCATCTTGCCCCGCAGCACGGGGGGATGGGAGCGGCTCCAGCCCTGGACACCTTCCCCCCTCCGGGCCGCTCGGCCTGGATTGCCACCGGTGCAGCCGCCTCTTCCTTCGCGACGCCCCGACAGCCGCCGCTCCTCCGGCGCTCCCGCCCATCCGCGGGGCGGACGGCAGAATAGCCAGCGCTTCCGGCTCCGGTCCCTCCCGTACTGCATGACGGGAATTGGAGTCTCTTTCTCTGAACTACAAAGGGGAAGAAAGGCCGCAAGAAGCGTGGCTATCGCTTGCTCTGATTAGATCTTTCCTTATAGTACCGAGCTTCTGAGACTCTGCGAAGATGTGACAATTGGTTCTACAAATAACTGCAGCTTAATTGGGCGTTTATTGCCAATTACTGTCTGCGATCACTGGATAGTGGTATCTTCATGCTGCCCCATTTTTGGGGGGAAGAAGGATTTCAGCAAATCTGCAATGAGAGGCACGATTTGAGTCCTGCCTGCCAAAATGTTCAAATAAAAAAAGAATTAACATATTAACATACCTCCAGAAAAGTATTGTTTTATGAGACTAATACTTTTTAAATGAAGGCACGGATCTATATTCTTAATGTAGCCTGAGGAATGCCTCTGAATTAAACAACAGAAACACAAAACCCCTAATTATTTCAGTGAAACCTCCTTAGTGGGCTGAAGTGGCACTGGCCACTTTTAAAAATGCAAAGCAAGCATTATATTCATATTCCTACTGAATATAAACAGTAAGCTGGAAATGAGCAAATAGCTTCACTTTGCCACTGCTATATTTTGGCCAAGGTGGACCCAATTATAGAGTGGAGACCACAACAGCAGAGGACAAAATGAACTTACTGAGGAAGAAAAGAGAGACAGAGAAATAGCAGTTTGCCTTCCTTCTCTTGTATCTCACCCCTCTGAAATTCATGGAGTATACTGCACACTGCAGTTTCTGTCTTTAGAAATGCACCTGTATTAGGACTGAGATCTAGGCTGCAAAAATCTGGATGATCAATAAATGGCAACAGAAAGTTAGTTTTTTTTATCCCTTTCCTGCCATCTAGTGGACATCTGGATTTTTCTGTTCCAATTTTTCTGTTCCAATATAGTATATGTTGATATTTCTACCCATATCAGCATAAGGTCGGAAACAATTGTTATGTCTAAAATTGCTTCAAAGCTACCTTCTAGCTACAAGCTATACAGACATATGATAAGAGTCTCTCTTAGCATCTGTTAAGTTGCAATTATCTTCCAAAAGGCAGAACTGAGAATGTCCTATATAAGACCATGGAAAGTTTAGGAGAGCTATGATTTACACGTGTACCTATGCAGGTACATCTTAAACACATATTCACAGAACATAGAACATAATAGAACACATAGTTAACAGCCCTTCTGTCCAGGACAAGCAATAATCTGAAGATTCTGCTTCCAGATGCCTTTGAGAAGCTTATAAACAGTAGCTGAAGCGTTGAAAAGCACTTTTGCCATTTTACCCAGTCCTCTGTATTCAGTTGTGTTGTCTCTAAAATTGGAAATAATAAGTCAGCTTTACAGGATAAGTCTGAGTTTTAGAATTATAAAGGGAAAAAAAACCACTTTCCTTTTCAACTTTCATGGTGCCAAATATAAGTTTGCACACCTCTGTAATGTCCCCTCTTACAAAGCTACACACGATATTCCAAGAATGGTCTCATCATAGACAAACTACCAATAGTTTTGTTTTACATTCCCTCAGTAATGGCTTCCAATATGGAATTTGGTTTCCTAGTCAGTCAGGAATACAATACCATGGGTATCTATATAAAGGGGTGCCTCTCCCCATTACTTATTTGCATATTTTTACATTAACAGTAATTTCCCTAATTTAGAATGCTCCTTTTGAGCTCTTTGCTATTCCTTAAAAAAAAAAAAAAATAAAATCTTTTGACATTTTCAGAAATATGCCACCTATGTGTTCACCCCTGAATTCAGATAATTTCTGAATACATTAAAAAGCAACCATCTTTGGAGGCATTAGACCATACAATCATAGGGTTGAAAGAGGACATTTGGGTCATCAAGTCCAGTGCAGGAATCCAAATTAAACCATCCCAACAAATGCATGCAATGAAAAAGAGAATGCCACCTTTCTGGGTCTTTAGTTCTACTCTCCAGCTGCTTTTACTGTTAGGGGTTTTTTTCTAACATTCAGTCAGAATCTGCCTTTAATTTAAATTTATTATTCCATGCCTTGGCTCTGAAACAAAAGAAAACAGGCTTCGACCTTCTTCTATGTGTCATCCCTTCAGGTATCTGAAATTATTATTATGTCCCTGCCTCAGTTGTCTTTTTTCATAGCTCCATACACCCAGCTCTTTCAATCTTTCTTCACAAGTTTTAGTTTCTTGTCCCCTTATCATCCCCTTGCCCATTTCTGAAGCTGTTCCAAATTCTCTGAATCCTCAAAGTACAGTAGACACAGTATTCAAGGTGAGTGAGGGCTGTTGAAAGCAGAATAAAGTGGAACGATTATTTTGTTTGGGGAACTCCACTGTGAAAAACCTAGTTCCTGGTTTCAGTTCTTTACTGAAGGCCAGAAGAGGACCTCTTGTCTGGCTGGTGTGGGTCTTCTGGGCTGTGTGGCCATGTTCTGGAAGTTTTGTTTCCTAACG